TGTTTTCGGAACGATTTATGTATATTTAAATGATATATTTAGAAAATTAACAAGGATGAAAAAATGCCGTGTTTCAAAGAGTCGTTTAGCGAGGATATGCATATAAATGGTTTTTTTCCTCCCTTTGATAACGTTAATCGCGGGCCATTTGGGATCGGAGCCGTCGGCCGGTGAGTGTAAACAGCAATTTACACCTGGGAAGGGGAAAAATATGTTATTCAAGGGAGTGAATAATAAGTGGCGTAGGTAAACGATCCGAGATGCCGGAGATTGATGGTGCTTAAAGTCAATAGGGGTTGTGGGTAGCCGGTTCCAGGGGGTAAACAATGGGGAGGAACGTGTTCGGGATGTATTATGGCGTCGTCATGAAAAGGGGATCACCCGATAAGGCCCATTTTCCCAGGTGAGGACCCAGAGGCACGAAGGCAATTTTTCCACCCCTTCCCCTACTTCAACCCTTCGCGTTACGCAATTTCATATTTCAATAAATCGAATTACAAGTGCGTAGCTTTGGGGTTTCCGAGGGGTGTGTAAATAGGAGAAGGGTTGACAAGAAGCCATTCAGGGATGAGAGGGGGATGAGGTTACCATTGGAGACGACGCTTGCGCCCGGTATCATCATCGCACCTATCATTCTTTCTCCTTTGACCTTTGCCCGCCCAATCATCAACGAACCTTTGGTTAATCTATTTACAGATTTTCCAATTCGACTAACGAGGATTGGCGGTGAAAATTAATTTCCCCCTTTTAGCAAACCGAGAGATGACACTTAATTTTCACTTAATGCACCTGAACTGTTCACTACAGTGGGCTTATTTACCTTAACAAAATAATCAAATACATTGACTTATCATTACTTAAAAATCTAAGAAAATCAACCGGTCGAAATGGAATTGTCTCTGGTCCGCCCAGTCCCGCTTTCAACGGCGCATTTACCCGCGTTCCACGCTCTACTGGAACCCTTCTTCGGAATAACTTTCAGCCATTTACGATCAAATGGAACGCTCAGCAATTACAACAAAAAACCTGTGAAATCGTATTGTGCTCTTCGAGAGTAAATTAGTATTAAAATAACACGATTTTGATTTACTAAAACTCGACGGGCGAGAATTGTCCACTCTTTTGACAAGTTTCTATTAATTAAGGTTTTTATTGAGATAAAAAAGTCAGTGTCACGAGCGGGATTCGAACTCACGACCTTCGGCTAAAACACCGCTGCTCCCTACTTTTTGCCATCTCAAGTGGTAGAGTAGCGGCGTATCTAGCCGAAGGTCGTGGGTTCGAATCCCGCTCATGACAATGACTTTTTTACCTCAACCAATTTCTTTCATAAATATCTTTTAACAAGTTTGAACTCAATTGGTTAAAATTAATACTAACAATTTATAAAAAGACAAAAACGGCAAACGTTGCATACTTATTTGATCTTCGAATGTTTCTACCCTAGTGAGAAAAATTTATACCTCTGGTAATTTTATTTTTATTTTTTAGGGTTCGATGTTGGCTATTTTGGTGTTTATGTTTACATTAAACTTCAGATTAATATGCCACAAGGAGAATCAATAATAGCTCGAAACATCAGTAAATGAAGTTAATCGTTTTTTCTTTCTCATTCACTTTCATACCAACGGTTACAAACATGAGACTGAATTTCAATTTTGTTAAAAGCAAAAAGGAATATAACGAAGAAGTATAAAAAAAAGTATTAAAAAAAAGGAATATAACAATCTAGAGCGATGTAACTGTTTAATAAACTTCACTAGTTTTCGAGGTCCGCTTGACCAATTTATGTTAATTAATTAAAGTTTTTAGTTGAAAAAAAGACAGTGTCACGAGCGGGATTCGAACCCACGACCTTCGGCTGGAAACGCCGCTGCTCTACCACTTGAGCTATCGTGACCTCGATCCACTCGGACACTAACTTCCCATCTCAACCCCACCTTTTGAATTTTCCCTCCTTTTTGCCATTTTTCGTATCCCGCTCGTGACACTGACTTTTTTATCTCAACTAAAAACCTTAATTAATTGAAAGATATTAATTGGTCAAGCGACTACGAAAACAAGTGTGTTTAATAAATAAATAAGAACGAAAAAAAAACATAAAAATTCGCAGACAGCTACAGGCAAATAATAAATCCACGGAGAGAGAGAGAGAGAGAGAGAGAGAGAGAGAGAGAGAGAGAGAGATGTTTTATAAGAAATAAATATAAAAATAAATTATTAGTTGAATAGATATGATGTAAAATAATTACACATAAATATGCAGATTTATTAATGAACAAATAATGGTTGAAATGAATAAGTTTGAATTCGTCACTAGTCAAGATTAGTGTTTTGAGACTTCTTAAATTATCGTTATGAAAATGTGGGAAAGGTTTGGAAAACTGTAGATCTGGTATTATCAACACAAACAGAGAGAAAAAAGGAAACCTTTAAAAATGCCCCAAATGAATTAAAACGCCGTGCTTTCTCGCCGGCTTTCAGCTGTTTTACAACTCATCTGCATATCCCTCATTTCACGGTCGAAATTCCCCTCCACCCGCCAGTCCACGATTAATTATAGATTTAATTATCTAATTGTAATATTTTTTTAATCATTATTATTAGGGGAAAAGGAATAACGGAATAACCGGCCAGTTGGGTTTTATGAAAATCATTTCGGTAATTGATGAGAAACAGTCTTATTATTTATTAAGGGGCCATTCCTACATAATACATATTTATTACAATTCTCGTTCTATTTATTATGATTTGTGTTAATTTCCGAGTTGCGTTATCTAGGAAGAACAATACAATTTTTTTGGTCAACTTGAGTTCTCAGTGATGGATTTTAAATTTAATATGCATTTATTTCTAAGGAGGGTTTTTAATTTTTGGTTAAAGCATTAAATTCTTGAAAATTTTACGGTATTTCAGTAATTTATCTAGGTCAAAGAGATCTAAAAAGATGCTATGTTTAGTACATTTGTTTTCTATTTTCTCTCTTACAACAAATTTTTTTTTTTAGTATATTGGAATTTTGTAGTTAGAGGCTTGTAAAAATGATTATTCGGAAATCGTGAGATGCGGTCTGGTGTGACGGTTTCAGAAAAACATTTTCTTTATCGTGCCAACGTTTCGATCTTTACTGAGATCATCTTCAGCGCTCAAAGTGTTTGTTTTCCGCGTAACTGTGCCATTCTTGCCTGTCCTGTTGTTTGTTGTAAATATGGTGAATCGCGGCTTTTTGGCGACAATGTAAAGTTGGAACAAAATTTTTCACCTTTTTAATACAAAGTATTGTTTCTCCTCTCCTGGGCAGTTTTTTAAAGATCAATGCTTGCTATGACCGTTTGATTACTGGTCTATAATAATAATATTGATTGATTGATAAATGAATCTTTTGGAGAATAATCTACCGATGAAAAAATTCAATTTTCCGGTAAAGCTCGAATTTTTCTCGTTGTCGCATCATTTACCCATAAAAACAAGTTGTACTTCGATCTGTCCTGTTGGGTGACAGAAGATGTTTTAGTTGGAAAGGTAGTTTTTGAAGCAGAATGTATAAAAGTCAAAATCAAAAAGCGTAAGTCAGGAGTTCATCAATGTAAGATACAACAGGACTTTAAAATATCATTTAAAATATTTATAAATGTGTGGTGATTAGTGACCATTAGTCGATGATTATTCAGAAATCGTGAGATGCGGTCTGGTGTGACGTAGGTTTCAGAAAAACATTTTCTTTATCGCGCCAACGTTTCGAACTTTATTGAGATCATCTTCAGGGCCTGGGATTTACCAACATTGTTTAAATTTAACCAATACATGTAGGATGTGGAAAAATGTGAATTTATATAATACAAAAAATATTTTTTGTATTCAATCAAAGTATTTCTACTCACTCAAAGTGTTTGTTTTCTGTGTACGTTGATTGAATGTAAAAAATATTTTTTGCGTTGTATAAATTCACATTTTTCCACATTCTACATGTATTGTTAAATTTAAACAATGTTTGTAAATACCAGGCCCTGAAGATGATCTCCATAAAGTTCGAAACGTTGGCGCGATAAAGAAAATGTTTTTCTGAAACCTACATCACACCAGACCGCATTTCACGATTTCTGAATAAATATTTATAAAGGTCAGAATTTCACGAGGTCAGATTTAATCCTGTGCAGAAATAGTTGTCATTTAATATAAAACATATTTGGGCAGAAAACACTTTAAAAAAGTATGCCTAATAAGGTAGAAATGATGAATGATGGAGTGAGTGCGATGTTCAATACTTTTTTTAAAAAAGATAGTTCCTACTCACAGTAAGTTGTTTTCCAACGATCCGGATTTCGAGCCCTTAGATCATCATCAGGTTGAAGGATTTATACAACCACGTCTCTCGACATGAATTGCAAAAGTGAACCCGCCGATACCCCCGCCAACGCGACGTTCCAATGAATTAGAATTAGTTAGAAATCCTTCAACCTGATGATGAGCTAAGGGCTCGAAATCCGGATTGTTGGAAAACAACTTACTGTGAGTACGTACTATCTTTTTTTTTTAAGTATTGCCTAATGAGGGTTTTCTGTCTGATCACGTTTGAGTATTATTCTGGGTTGGTTGAACAAAATTACAGTTAGATCAGAACAGATTATGTTTTCTATAAGACCTCCAGATATTTTGTTAAAATGTGGAGTATAAAAATATAGTCTCATGGCCACCCACTGTAACGAGAGGACATGAAAATCGTTCCAGTGTCGTGCGATGGTTGATTTTTTTTGGGGGTGTCGGACGGCAGAAGGGGGCGATTAAACCGACCAGTAAACCGATCAGGCTACTTGGATATTTATCACCATAAATTGTAATGAGGCTCAAATGTCACGGGGCCTGAATAAAAAATCCCAACACACACACACACACACACACACACACGCTCACGCACGCACAATTACCGTTGTCCATTGGGTTTTAAAACGTACCTGTAATTGCACGTTGCGGTCGATTAAAAACCCGTGCGGTTGTTCTAGGCCACAAGGAGGACGAGGGACGTTGCCAGGGTGGCGGGCTCACCAAGAAGCAGAGGAAGGCGAGGACGGCCTTCACGGACCACCAGCTCCAGACCCTGGAGAAGAGCTTCGAGCGGCAGAAGTACCTGAGCGTACAGGACAGAATGGAACTGGCGGCCAAGCTCAGCCTGAGCGACACTCAGGTCAAAACCTGGTACCAAAACAGAAGGTATGTTCCTATTTATTTTTAAAATACTAATAACAAAACTATTTTTTGTAAGACATCATTCAAAATAATGGACTAAAAGTAGTTTGGATGTTTACTATTTTATTCAATATCATTTTCATACAATTTAAAAAATTCTTAATTCTTACAAACAGCACAAGAAAGTTGACTGGAGAACTGTAAAAAGTGCCTTTTTATCATTTCCTTCTTGAATATATCGGTATAAATACAATTTTTTGATATTTTGAGTGGATTAACTGATAAAAGGAAATAATAGATTCAGTATAATTGATATTTTAGCCAGGTTAGATATTTATAACCTTCTCTATTGTTATGTCATTTTAGCTAAAATAAAGTAACAATCGATTCATCATAACAGCGGTAAATCGATATTTTACAAAATAACCCAAAACGATTTAGTTGTCTTTAAATCAACAAATAAATAAAGCACTAATTTATTTGAATGTCGATTTGATATGATCGATATATTGCCGTGTTAGGTTAATTTAAATCATGTAAAGATCCATTCGACGACTGAAACAGTCAAAATTTTCGTTGCGTTTTTAGGTTATAGATTTTGATAGGTTCTTAACCTTCTCTATTGTTATGTCATTTTTGCTAAAATAAAGTAAAAATTGATTCATCATAACAGCGATAAAGGTTATATACATCTAACCCATTTAGAAATTCGATTCTAGTGAATCGATATTTTACAAAATAACCTAAAACGAAGATTTGTCTTTAAATCAAAATAAAACACTAATTTATTTTAATATCGATTTGATATGATCGATATATTGCCGTGTTAGGTTAATTTAAATCATGTAAAGATCCATTCGACGACTGAAACAGTCAAAATTTTCGTTGCGTTTTTTAGGTTATAGATTTTGATAGGTTGTGACATCCAGGCGAACTTTATAAACCTTGTCCTTTAATATTATTTAACTAACCAATGCTTCAGAGTGCATGGTGGCAATGATTCGCCATATCAGACCAATACAGGCGTCCCACAAGGTGCATTCTTGGTCCCATCCTGTATATCATTTACACACACTTAAACACATTTACACTGACTTTCCTTTACTTCCAAGCACACCTTGTGCTTGTCAGACTCGTACAAAACCGACATGACTGAATATGGACAAATGTACCCAGGTTTGCATTGAAAAAAACTGTCTTGACGTCTTGGAGTTATTTAACTAATATCTCTTTCGTCCATCAAAACTCAACTAACTCTACGCATTTTGCAATTTCGACCAATCATTTCATTCCAAGCGAATCCAATCCTTGTAATGAAAAGTCCTGAGGACATCTGTCAAAGCTTTTTGGTACGCTCCTAACCTCACTACCCACAACTACCTGAACGTTTGTCAATGAGCTGATACGACCAAGCTGGCAAAAGTTCCACACCAAGCTTTCGATATATGCTAGCCAAACTGCCTAAGCCATATCTACACTTTAACCGACGATTGCCTCGAGATCTCTTTGCCCTTTAACTCCCTGTTGGAATCTTTTTAGGTTATTATATTGAACCAGAGTCGCAACCAAAGTTATTATATTTTCTGCATTCTTTAGCCCTTAATGTTATAAATTACCATTGTAATTCTCTTCCTGTCGTTAAGTATGGCCATTCAAGATGGTATTTAGTCAAATTAAAGACCAGTAGCGATTATTCAAATACGTACATAAAGCAAACGATGTGTTTTACGGTAGACGGAAGTCGATGCTCATTTTATTAAAAATAATTATCGCCAGATGATCTTCCGTTGTGTACATTTTCTCTGTGCTACTTGCCGTCCGGAAAAAGTCCAGTTTGAGAATTAAAAAAAAAATATTGAGAGCATCTTCGTTGCGAAAACTATTGAATTTTAATTTTTTAGGTTAAATATTTGCATAACCTTCACCACAGTTAGATTTTTTCAGTTGACGTAATCAATGATTCTATGTAATCGATAATTTAAATCGATACAATTAATGTTGTATTAATTTATATTATTATATTGTATCGATATTTTCTACAAAGAGTGATCTTTAACCAAAACAACAAATAAACAAACGGTGGCCACAACGCTTTAAGCGTTGATACGGCTCGTCTCTGTAAGGTAAAGGTACCGGGTTCGAATCCATCGGCCCAGCATTCGAACCCGGCATACAAATGGGCTTTTTTTCAAAAAACACCGTCACCCTGAGGGTTTATATAATCGATTACATATAATCTGTATCCTAATCAGGTTATAGCCTTCTCTATTGTTATGTTAGGTTAGCTGAATTAACAACGTAACTATCGATTGGATATAATATTATCTAATATAATATTAGATTTTTCTGTATATCATAGTAATTCCTCACTAATATCAAGTGTATGTGATAAAGCATTTCTCTTTCAATTTAAGCGTGGAGAAAAGAAGGTCGGAATTAAGTTATTTTTACAAACAGAAAAGAAACACTTCATGAAATCTCAGTATTTTAATTCAATTTTTGATTCATATTGAATTTTTGTTTGTTCCAATTTAATTTAATTATTAGTATATTCTCGAGGTATCTTGTTCGAAGAATGTTTATTTACGGCCAGAATCAAAACGTTTTTTGTTAATTCATGGGAAGACATTTTGACCTGATTTTTATCTTCGAAAAATAATAATAATGATTGTTCGGAAATCGTGAGATGCGGTCTGGTGTGACGTAGGTTTCAGAAAAACATTTTTTTTATCGTGCCAACGTTTCGATCTTTATTGAGATCATCTTCAGGGCCTAGGATTTACAAACATTGTTTAAATTTAACAAATTCGTGTAGGATGTGGAAAAAAATGAATTTATACAATGCAAAAAAATATGTTATATTCAAAGTATATATAAAGTTCTACTGAAGATGATCTCAATAAAGATAGAAACGTAGGCACGAAGAAAATGTTTTTCTGAAATCTAAATCACACGATTTTCGAATAATCATTGACTAACGGTCACTAATTACCACACAATTATAATAATAATTTTGTTTAAATTTTATTTCGATTTGTAGTTAATAAATTGAAACCAATATTACGTATTAGTGCTGGAAAATTGAAAAATGAAGCCAGTTTTGCTTCAAACCTTTGGAACATGTGGACTAATTTCAACTCGGAACACCTATATATTTTTTCATCTTAATATTTATATCGTTTAATTGATTATTAGTTAGACACATAAGACAATATTAACCACCAAAACTATCGTCTTTTACCACCCTCTCTTTTACGAAGAAGTTCTGAAATGTAAGAATGGCTCGGTCGTAATGACAGCGCTCACGACCTCATTCTGGATTGTTATTACTTTAATAATAACAAAAAACACCGCCTGCCGTAATAATGAACGTCAGATCAAGGAAGAAAAAAGTTTATTTTTGATCGTTGCAAAAGATTTATAAAAAAAAGGATGTTGTGTGTAAACAAATAAGTTGTTTCTATCCAATGAAGTCCCATACTTAAAATTTTACATTTAATTAAGATTTTTAGTTGAGATAAAAAAGTCAGTGTCACGAGCGGGTTTCGAACCCACGATCTTCGGCTAGATACGCCGCTGCTCTACCACTTGAGCTATCGCGACCTCGATCCACTCGGACACTAACTTCCCATCTCAACCCCACCTTTTTGCCATTTTTCAAATGCCGTGTAATCTATTTGATTCTCGCCGACAAATAAAATGGCCACGGAGAGTTTAGTGAAGGTATATAATTCACTAATTTTCTGGTCCGCTTGACCAATTAATATCTTTCAATTAATTAAGGTTTTTAGTTGAGATAAAAAAGTCAGTGTCACGACATTTGAAAAATGCCACAAAAAAAAGGAGGGAAAATTCAAAAGTCACGATAGCTCAAGTGGTAGAGCAGTGGCGTATCTAGCCGAAGATCGTGGGTTCGAATCCCGCTCGTGACACTGACTTTTTTATCCCAACTAAAAACCTTAATTAATTGAAAGATATTAATTGGTCAGGCGGACCACGAAAATTAGTGAACTTAAAATTTTACTTAAATAGAACAGATCTTTCATTAAAAAAACAAAACGAACTAAATATGGCAATTTTGTTTGCAAAATTTTCTCCCTCGATTGTTCCTATTTCTCCTTGGATTGTCTATCTGGACTGGGATCGGCTGTCAGGTTTGAATCGAAATACCAAATCGCCCTCATTTCCTGTAATCCCAGGTTCATTACTCCTTGGGGTCTCTAATCCGGCCGTCACGGTGTTAAAAACGTCGCAAGAACCACGCCATCCGAGGACGGGATTAGCGTGAAATGGCCGGCCCGCGGATCACTTTTTAACCCTCCACGTCCCGCCGACTCTATTAAAGGATTTTAACGCTACATTTTTAAATGTTCATCCTTCGTAATTGATTTTTTCTCAGAAAGGTTTAATTGTTTCTTTTTAACCTTTGAAATGAGGTATCTAAGTATGTGGTTACAACCACCTTTTGATCTTTACAGCCTAAGAAATACATTTTTTTAAATATACTTATACTGACTTATTCAATCACATGAAATTACGCACGTTTTAATTCAAAATAATATTAGCTCCCTTGAGAAGACACATTTTTATTTAACAATCACAATAGCATATAAAATTTCCTGCAGTTTCTTCTTAGGCCAATGACTGTTCAGTTGGTGGATATGGCACACCAGCGATAATCCTAATTTTCGTCCGGGTTTTCATGTTTATTGTCCTAGAGTGTTACACTAGGTTTATATCATTACTTTTTTTAAACCTTTATTGTTCTTTTGGTTCCTCAGTTCTCATTCCTTGTCAAGCCCATCAAACTGGCACACAATTTGAATGTCAGACACCTTTCGCTTTTTGGCTAACTTAAAAATTCGACCCATTCGGTAAGTTCTGGTTTATTTACGCCAATTTCAAAAATTAGAGTTCCCGGTCCAATTGGTATGGCTTTGACATGGCTATATAGTTTATATGACACACTTTTCTTATGGGCCAAATTTTCCTTCTGCACTTTTGATCAATCCCTGACTGTCTGT